CTCTCCTGAGATGACAAAATCTTCACCTTTGAAGCAAGACAGATGTGGACAGTCCCCTCAGGCAGCACAAGAGAAATCTCCCTCCAGGAGAAGTGAATCCAGACAATCTCCTGAACTAAATGGCAAATCCAAAACTCCTCCAAAGCAAAAGAAATTCCAAGAAGTTAAAACAAAATCCGGATCTTCTCCAGGGCCCAAAAAATCCAGTCCTATGGCAGTAATGGAAAGTACTTCACTTCCATGCCAAAAGAGTAAATCAGGTTCATCTCTCTCTGGAAAAGAAAAATTGCAATCTTCCTCAAAACAAATGCCGCCTGAGTCTTCACCAGTACTTAAAAAAACAGATATTCCATCAAGGCGAAGTAGATCTGGATCTTCCTCTTCGTCGTCTTCCTCCTCCTCTTCTTCCTCCTCCTCCTCTTCTTCCTCTTCTACTTCTTCATCAACATCTCCAGAAGATGATAAATCTCACTCACCTCCCAGACTTAGTTGTTCTGCGGGACTGTCAATCAACAAGAATAAATCAGTTTCATCCCCAACGCATGGCAAAGCATCTTCTTCAGAACCAGAAAACAGCACATTTGCAATGGTTACAAAGTACAATAGACTAGGATCTGCTCCGGAAATAAGAGAAACTTCTAAAGCTGCAGTGATGGTGCCCAGATCACCTTTAGAGAAGAAAGAGGCATTTAAAGAGGCATCTCGAAGAAGTAGACCAGGTTGTTATTCTGGGACTAAAGAGAACCGAAAAATGCACTCTAGTGAGAGCAGTTCAGATTTTTCCCCAGAATGGAAAGAGAAATCTGAGAGCAGATCTGTGTCGCCACTCAGACCAAGAATAAAATCAAAAACACCTCCAAGATGCAGAACATCAAGGTCACCACCTAGATCTAGACCAAACTCCAGAACACCAAGACCTAAGTTGAAGTCCAGAACTCTTCCAAGACGACGTAGATCTGGCTCATCTCCTAGACCCAGAATAAAGTCTAGAACACCTCCCAGACGACGTAGATCTGGGTCATCCCCAAGGTCACAAATAAAATCCAGAACACCACTCCGACATCACTGCAGAGCTGGGTCATCTCCAAGACCTAGAAGGAAATCGAGAACCCCTCCACGACGACGTAGATCAAGAGAAAAATCTAGAACACCAGTTACAAGAAGACGGAGATCTATATCACCAGTGAGTCCTAGGCGCAAATCTCAAACACCTCCAAGACGAGGACGGTCCAGATCACTCTCCAGAGAGAAGTCAAGCACCAGCACACATCCACATCGGTCTGAGTCATCATCCTATGGTGACAGGCCCAGAACTTCTTTGCGACAAGTAAGATCTGGCTCGCCCTCATGGAGGAGTCACTCCCATTCACTCTCCAGGCAACGAGATAAATCTTGGGGTTCGTTGCAGAGGGAACGGTCAATTTCCTCTCCAGCTAGAAGCCGCTCAAGATCCTCTTCTCGTCAGGAGAAATCTAAACTACTGCACAGAGGTCATTCCCAATCACCAGTACAGATGTTGCCATTGTCCCCAGAGAGGACTGCAACAAATCCGAATGCATCTCGTTCACCTCCCAGATTAGATACATCATGTGTAACAACATCATATAAAGGCACTGGGTCCAGAATATCCCCTGATTGTCAGTCATCTCCTGTGAGGAAGCATTCCAGATCAGGCTCCCAGGAAGCCTGCACATCTCCAGGAAGAAAGTCTCGCTCTCCTCCTGTTCTAGAGAGATATCCCACGTTTGACCTCCAAGAGAAGCCAGCAAGCTCCTCTCTTTGGCATAGCAAAAACATTGCCATTTCTTGCGCTTTAATTCCACCTTGTGAGGAATCTCCTAAATTGCAAAACCTCTCTCCTGATCCATCTATGTTACATGACTTGCTTCCAGTATCGAACAGTGGTGACTCCATAGCCATCCAAAACAGCCCAGGAGATAGGAATCAGAGCATGCACCAAGCTATAATGAAAGATGATGCAGGAGTTGGTGCATCTTTGTCAGGGAGAAGCAGTTCTCATGCAGGCTCCCTCTCTCCTGTAAAAGCTAAATTGTCGTCCCGTTCCTCCTCCTCCTCTGCTTCCTCCTCCTCCTCTGCTTCTTCAAGCCCCTTACCAGCATTGATTTCTGTCCTAGTGCCGTCCCCCAAAGAAGAAGAGATTGTATCTGAAGGAAAAGTAGCAGACAGGTCTGAGGGGCACTTACCTACCCTTGAGGCCGAGTCGCAGTTGTCTTCTGTCGCCATGGAGGATGACACCAGGAGCAGCTGTCCCACAGTCCTACAACTTGATCTTCCCTCTCCTCCACCCNCAAAGGCATGGATGGTCTAGAAGCAGAAATAGTGGAAGATGGGGCAGATCACGAACACCACCAAGAAGAGGGAGGTCACGTTCAAGAACACCAAGAAGAGGCAGGTCTGGATCAAGAAGTCCACCCAGGCGAGCAAGATCCCGCTCCAGAACACAACCGAGAAGGGGCAGATCTAGAACTAGGACACCTCCCAGGAGGGGAAGATCAAGTTCATCTCCAAGAAGAGAGAAATCCTTGATTTCAGCCAGACGAACCAGATCTGTATCATCTCCAGATTGCAAAGTTTCCAGAATTTCTTCTAGAAGTCGATCTGATTCATCTACAAGAATGAGGGAAAGATCTAGAAAGGTGCTAAGACGTAGTCTTTCTGGTTCCTCTCCTGAATCAAGAAAGTTAAGAGTATCTCCCAGACGTAGTCGGTCTGGATCACTTCCAAAAGCTAAAAAGAAAACTTGGTTGTCTCCAAGAAGGAGTCGTTCAGGTTCTTCTCCAAGGTCAAGGAAGAAAAGATCAAGAACACCTCCAAGGCGCAGTCATTCTAATTCTTCTCCAAGAGTAAAAAAGAAATTGAGATTAAGCATCAGACAAAGTAGATCTGGTTCTTCTCCAACACAAAAAAAGAAATCAAGATCACCTACTAGGCGTAGCCAATCCAGGTCACCTCCACCACTCAAAAACAAAACCAGGCTGTCCCCTCAGAGCAGTTGTGGTTCATCTCCAAGGCTTATAAGGAAGTCTGATGTTTCTTCAGCAGCTGAAGAAAAAGCTAGAAGCACTTCAAAGAGAAGTCGATCTGGTTCCTCTCCAGCACTGCGAAACAAATCAAAATCTCCTTCAAGACGTAATATATCTGGGCCCTCTCCAGAACCAAAGATGAGATTACCAAGAAGGCGAAACAGATCTGAGTCTTCTCCAGAAGTGAAAACAAAGCCAAGGGCAGGATCATCCCCGATGCTGAAAAAGGAAATGGGATCATCTCCAAGGCAAAGTCGGTCTAGTTCTAGCCAATCATCAGCAAAGGAAAACTCCTTATCGCCAATAAGGCGAGCAGCTTCTGAATCAAAGTCTGAATCTCCACTACAGCAAAGCAGAGTTGGAAGATCTGTAGGAACAAAAGAAAAACCTAGATCCCCGCACCGAAGGCAGAGCAAGTCTAGATCACCTCCAGCTTTGAGAGAGACATCACTTTCTCCTCTAAGACCAATTGCATCTGGATCTTCATTAGAAATTAAGCAGAAATCTTCTTCACCACAGGATAAATGCAAAAACGATTCTCTGGAGTTAAAGAAGACTAAGTCATCTCCAAGGCAAAGCACATCTGGTTCTTCTCCAGTGACCAAAGAACAGTCAAGATCACCTACTAGGACCAAGTCAAGATACTCTCCTGAGATGACAAAATCTTCACCTTTGAAGCAAGACAGATGTGGACAGTCCCCTCAGGCAGCACAAGAGAAA